ATTTCAGGAATCCAACTCCCATTCATGATTCCGTTAGTATTCTCACAGTAATTAATTTAAGTTGATAAACAAAATTTGAATCCTTTCAATGAACTGAGAGCTGCCAAGTATAGATGGACAAGAATCAACGAGTTTACAACCCAGGCGGGGGGGGCGAAATGTAAGCCCTGGCTTTACAAATGGATATGAGTTTTTCAGAGGCAGTGTTTCTCCAAGTATGTCAGACCTATCGGTGGCGCCTGTTAAGAAATATAACTTCCTGGGTGACATATCAAACCTACCACGCCCAGGTCTCTGAGGGTGGAGTATGGGAATCATTTTTAACCAGTCCCCAGATTATTCTTATGCCTATTGCTTGAAAACCACTGATATCCTGTAACTGCCCTGGGCAGTTACAAAGGGAAATGACATTTGTTCATCAGTAATTATCTGTGTTATCATTCCAAATAAGAAGTTCTCATCTTGGGATCAGTAAAAATCAACTAGAGAACTTCATGTAAAATGCAAAGTCCTGATTATGCCCCAGTAATTTCTTATTTAGTGGGCCCAGGAATATACTGTGTATGTGTGTACATGCTGAGGTTAAAAAACATAGGTTTGGGGATGCAAACACCTCAGGATAAATTGAGTAATGAGAGCTTGTGCAAGAACCTACATTCTGTATGGCTGGGCTATTTAAACCTTAAAATGAAAATAATAACACTTACCACACAGGATTAGTAGTTTGATTCATTGATTTTAAATAAATATATACCCCCACTTCCATTTCTCCCAACCTCCAGCCCCTACCTCTGGCAACAATCACCAATCTGTTCTTTGTATTATGAGCTTGTTGTTTTTTATTTTGCTTTGTTTTTTAAGATTATACATATTGGAGAGATCATATGGTATTTGCTTTTCTCTGTCTGACTTATTTTACTAGCATAATGTCCTTGAGGTCCACCCATGTTGTAACAAATGGCAACATTTCATTATTTTTTATGGCAAAATAACATTCCATTATAT